TGATGATGGCGATGATAGTGATAATGATGATGGTGATGCAATGATGATGATGATGGAATGATGATGATGATACTGATGACGGTAGATGTGATGATGATGACAATGATGATGATGAAGATGAACTGGTTGATGATGATGATGATGGTGGTGGTAGATGTGATGATGATGATGGTGTTCATGATGATGATGGCGATGATGATGAATTGGTTGATGATAATGATTCTTTGTAATAGACAGATATCCCAGCCAGCTCACCAGTTAACTTGTCTCTCACACGAGTAATAATATCCAGTGCTTTCTTGTTCAAAGCCTCAGGTTTATGAGCATTTTCATCCTCTGAATTAAAACAAAAAATAAAACATTATCTTTCATGCTAAAATACCTCTTTACCTTAGTCATAATGTTTTCCCAATTCAGAACACGTGCCAAAATCTTGAGAATAAGATTCTTTGTTTGAGTTGCATCCATATCCATTCATGTGTCTTCTCATGTGCAAGCGTTAAATAAATGATACTCTAGGGAATGACACGTGGTCCGAAATAGGAGAACATTGGAGTAGGTCTCTTATATTTTGTCTGTATTTTTCAACAATATCTTCACATTCTTTGTTTGATACTGCTGAGAACCAAAGCACAGTGCTTGTATTGAGGAGAATGATACTCTACGGAATGACACGTGGTCTGAAATGGTGAAAACTTCATCTAAGGGGACATATTATAGTTGTTTTAAAACCTCCACAAATACTTTTATTTTCCAGGGGTTTGCTCTTATCTCACTAACCAATAGAATGAAGAGGTTCTGCTTTCTTGTTGGTCGGCTTGTCACGACTGACCTCGACACCTTCTAACATGTCTGTGGTGAAAAAAAGCAGAAAACAGTGAATAATGTACCTTACGCCTGCATAATAACGCTTATACACATGACAACATTGCTGCACACATTATCACACATACAAAATAACTGTTATAAATCTCGTATTCTGATTGGTTGGGAGCGCGTGCTTTATGAGAGCACACAACACGCACCCGCCCTTTGCATTTTATAAAAGAAATAAAAAACTTGCTTGTTGAGCTGTGTGGAGATATAAAGCACTTGGGGATTGACAGAACACTCGAGAAGTATCCTAACACTTCTAACTAGTGTCCTAAGTGTCCTAACTCTCCTAACATTTCTCTCGTGTTCTACCTATCCCCGCGTGCTTTATAACTGCAGACAGCACGCTTGCGAGTTTTCTATTGTTTCAACATTGTCTAGTAGCATGTTTCGTGTCAGAAGTCGCGAAACAAGACAGTAATACCTGCAACGCTAGAGTGGTTTTAATAAACCCGTGAAATACAACTTAGCGTATTTAGTACTATTGTTTTCTATTGTATTGTTCTGACTGTTACCACTCTAAGGAATAGAGGTTTTGCACCATCACGTTCCCATCCCATAATACAGCTTGGGCTTCCTATGGTTAGATGGCAGAACAATAAAATCCCTTTGCTCTTGGGAATTGAATTCTTTCTCATGTAAAACGATTGTATTTTATATGTATTGTTCCTGCCATCTAACATGGCGGCCGTCACATGGAAGTCCAAAACCTCTATACACTTTGTTTCACGGCTTTATGAAAACCACTCTAGTAGGCAACTTACACGACCTAAAAGAGTGATGGATGACAAAATGGGTGGATGAATAAGTAGAATAGGTAGGTGGTTGGTTAGGCGAGTAGTTGGGTGGGTGTGAGGTGGTTGGTACGTGAGTGAACGGGTGGGTTAGTAACGTGTTGGGTTGTTAGGCGGGTGAGTAAGTGGTTGGGTAGGTGAGCACCTGGTTGGGTAGGTCAGTGGGTAGGTGGGTGGGTAGGTGAATGAGTGGGAGAGTGAGGTGATAGGTTAATAGGTTGATAGGTGGGTTAGTAGGCGAGTGGGTGGGTGAGTAGGCGATTGGGTCGGTGGGTTGGTGGAAGGGTAGGTGAGTGGGTGGGTGGGTAGGCGAGTGTGTTTGGGTGCGTGGGTAGGTGGTTGGGTAGGTAAGTAGGTGGAAGGGTAGGTGAGTGGGTGGGTGGGTAGGCGAGTGGGTGTGGGTGGGTGGGTAGGTAGTTGGGTAGGTAAGTAGATGGGTAAGTAAGGTTTTGGGTTGTTGTGTGAGTCAAGGAGCGACAATAATGGCAAAATCATTGTAAATACAATCTGTGATAATTATATTTCTCTTAATTTCTTTACCTTCAGCGCCCTCTGACATGGTGTCTGAACGACCTTTAGAACGTTTGATCTTAGGAGCAGCTGCAAAACATTCATCATAATCATACATCAACGCCTATTATCATTTTCAAGCCATTCGCTCTGCGCATGCTCAAAACTGCACATAATAATGATAAGGACAAGAGAGAAAAACGTCTGCGCATGCTCTGAATCCGTATGCAAATTAGTCAAAACATAATTTAATTTGATTTTCAAACATGCCTGATAAATTGGACCCCACAAAATGCCAAAACTTAGTGTTCATGCTTGAAACTTAAGGCTAATTCTTTCATATTGTGTTAGTTAATACGGTATCTTGGTCTGACAAAAGTATACTCTTGAACTTTTTTGTATACTTGGAGAAAACAAACATTTATTTTCTCACCCAAACTCTTCAAAATTCTTAGAAAACGTGCTGAAGTGCACGAACGCGCAAACGTTTTTCTCTAGTGTCAATGATAAGGGTCTGGGGACGAGAATGACGATGCCACGATAAAAATTTGCATTCTCGGTTTATACATACCGCTGTCCATAAGCCTCCAGTTGAGTAAGGGATCATAGACAAAGGCTTCCAGTACAGCCATCAGACTGTCTTTGTGTTCGCGCAGGGTTCGCATCACGCTCTCGCATGTCATGCGATAGTTGCCGTCGATTCCTGTCACCTGCATGGAGGAAACATGAGAAGGATTGATCACGTGTTTTTAATTGTTTAACAAGCAACAATAAAGGCAAGATTGGAAGAGAGGAGAGGAGAGAAGGGGAGAGAGGAGAGGAGAGGAGAGGAGAGGAGAGGAGAGAACGCAATTTCTAGTGACTTATAACAACCTACCTCCATTGCATTAGTTAACATTCTAGTCAATCGAAATGGAATTTTCTCAGGGAATTTTTCTCTGGTCATCGCAACCTATACAAAAATACGACTTCATAAACAAACAGTCCACAAAATAAAGAGCTTATGTTTAATACATCGCACTGACCTCAAAGCAATCCCCAAAATCGATGTGTAGAATACGTCCACTCAGTCGGTCTAACATCAGATTAGATGGATGTCTGAAACCACAAAATATTAGTAAGTTAGGTTTTACTAAGAGAGTCAAAGGTTACCACGACCACTTACCTGTCTCCAAGACCAAGGACATACCCCACCATAGACATGACAGCAAGAGATCTGGTGTAGTTAGTGCGACGATCAAACCAAACCTGTAAGACATTGGTTAACCACTCATGAGGGATATCAAGTACTTGACTGTAAATGGTAGTGTGGTGCTGATGGTAGTGGTGGTGGTGGTAGTGTTGGGGGGGGG